TAATGACTGCATTAGCTGCGTTACTCTAATTGTTAAGAGGCCAGGCGTCGGAGTCTACAGGATCTGCAGAGACTCCTAACAGCCTGGGCAGGGGATCACTGGAGCCAGCGGGCTCTGGCTTCTCCCTCCTGCTCAGCTCATTGTGGGTAATGAGCTCCACCCATCTCTGCCTGTTTCTAGGGAGCTGTGTGGGGCACCTCCTAGGGACCCCTGGCTCCAGCTCCCGCCTGGCTGTGGAGTTCACGTTCCTCTCACACTTTGCCATTCCAGGTCCTCCTTGAGTCTCACTGGTGCTGTGACTGCTACCTCCTCCAGAAAGCATTCCAGAAGCACTCCTTTCTCTGAGCTGCCTCTGTATGAATGCGTGAATGCTCCTCAGCTGTTCTGGCTGATTGTGGGAAGAGCATGCCACATGCAAGCTCCAGCTCAGGCCTTTGACAGCAGAGGCCACCCTTGCACTTTGGTGTTTCCTAGGCACAAACACAGCCCTGACAATAGCTCAATCAGTCCTAGCTGGACAGCTCAATGGTGCTGGCTGCAAGGCACTGCCCACATGCCTCCTCTTCCACCCACCATGCAACTGCCCTGGGTAAAGGAGGTTACTCAGCCCATCCACAGCCCACAGGGGTATAAAGCCTGCCCTGTCATTCCACTTGGGGTCAATTTTAGAACTCCCCACTAAACCTGCACTGCAGCTCAACCTCTGGCTGCTGCTTCTCCTTCTCAAAGGAAAATTCCTTAAAAAGCCAATCTCCACGCCAGATTCTGTTGTCCACGGAACAAGGAGTAAGCATTTCTCCAGTATCTCAGTTTGCTCATCTATTAAAATGTGATGGGAGTGGGGAGGGGAGCTGAGAAAACTCCCAGAAGTGAGGGAATCATTCAAGGTGAACAGGAGCCGTAGGCCAGGACTTTAGCCCTCTAGTAAATCTGCTCCTCTACCCTGCGTCTAAGGACAGAGAGCTTTGGCGGGGAGGCAGACGAACCCTGGCTGACTTTCTTCCTTCCTATCTCTAGCAGGGTGAGGGCAGACAGAGCACCCACAGCCATACTGCTCTTTGGGGAATGCATGGAATATTCATTTATTACATTTATATCATAAAATGCATAATTTTGCCTGAAACTTGCCAACTGTTATTAGTTTCCAAAAATAAATAAGGAGTTACCAGTTGTCCAAATTCTGAGAAAATTCTTAAGGAGAAAACCTTTGAACCATCTAAGACCTTAATTTTTTTCTCCATAAAACAGGGGAAAGACACCCACAAGTCAGTTTTAATCACAGACTCTCAAAGCAGCCCACGAGAAGGGAAGTGGAGCTTGGAGATGGCTGCTCTAGAAGGGACAACTGATCCCAGTGCCTTAGACCTGGAAGGAGAGCAGGGAAAGGCTTCTTGGGTTCAGGAACACCCAGCACATCACTGGTGGTGGTGGTAGTGGTAGTGTGTGTGTGTGTGTGTGTGTGTGAGAAAGCCCCAGGCAGCACTACAAACATTTCCACTGGACACTCACTGGAAATGCTTGCTGGCACCTGGATTCCCTCTGACTTGGAGTAGATTGTTATAAAACCATTTTAGGTGCTTTATAAGAATGAGCTCTTCCAATTATCTCAATCAGTGAACTGTTATGGCTGTGTCTAGATGTCCCCCCAAAGCCTCCTGCTGTCGTAACTGGGGCTTTTTGGAGGTGGCTGGATCTAGGATTTGTGCTGCTGGGATCAAGGATGTGATGCAGAGATTGATTCATTGTGAGATGCTAGAATTAAGGGTGTATTACCCACTTTAAGGATAGCATGAGTAAAATATAAGGGATAGACAAAGCTGTGGTCAGGGCTTGTCTCTACCTGCTTACTTGCTTTTGCTGTCTTCTGTCTGTCATGAACTATTTTTCCTCTGCAATGTCCATCTGCCTTGGAGCCAGCCAACTACGAACTGAAGCCTCTATGAACTGTAAGCCAAATAAATCTTTCCTCCTTTAACATGGGGTGTTGGGTATTCTGTCTTAGCAACGAGAAAGGTAACTAAGACACGGATCCATTTTACAGAAGAAGAAATAGAGTATTCAAAGTCTAAAGTAATCTGCTGAGATCCCAAAATAGCTGTGTAGAGAAGTTGGGATTCCCATATCCATGCCCATTTTAGGGCATGAGCGTTCACTGTACATGATGCAGCTCTGTAATAAGCCTCTCACACCTCCAAGGGGGAGATAAAGGGTACACAGAAACACCAGAGAGCCAGCTGGGACTGGGATATGGGTAGACGTCGATGAAGAGGATGATTAGATCCCACTTTGAGAATGCTCCTTCAGCTGTAGGATCATACAATTCAGGTTCAGCTACCTGCCTGTACTACCCAGAGCCTGCAGCTGTTGGACACCACTGACTGCTGTAGGCTTTCTAAGGAGAGACAGAGGGACTGCAGGGGACCCAGCTGGCCACTTCCCTTCAAGTGACAGAGGCCAGGATCAGAAGCATGATGCAAATGCCCCTTGGTCATCAAACTTGATTCTGTTCAACACCCTTTGCTTCCCTTGCTATGTGATGTGCTCCAGGAATGTAAGCTCTTCTCAGTGTGGCTGAAAGCCCAAATATTGGGAAGGTTAGCCTGCACAGAAGTTAGCAATATGAAGGGCAATATGAAGATTTAGTACTTAGCAAAGATGCTAGTGGGGTTATCAGCTGGGAGGGCTGGGGTTGAGCTGGTCACAGTCTGCAGCCACTCTTTGACTATCAGGATCATAGTGTTTCTCAGGACTCTGGAGGCTCCTGCTTATAGACAATGAGTCCTTAAACTATAAGGCAGCCAGCTCTTATCATGCAAGTTCCCATTGCCGGGGGACAATGGAGTTCCCATTGCCTGGGGACTCCACAACAGTTCCTGGCTGTGAGTGATGAATTGTTCTGTCTTCCAGGATGGGAATAAAGATGGGTGTCCCGCCAGCACAGGCTCTGGCTCAGTGCATGTCTGCTGTCCTGAACTGCAGTCTGGCCCAACAGAATTGCAGAAGACCCAAGACCTTCCCTCGAGTCTGTCACTGGTCCAACTGAAAACTCATCTTTCATTTCAGCAGACGTCGTCTAGTTGGGTCCCTGTGCACACAGAGGCAGCTGCCCCTCTTCCCTCCACATAAATCTTTCACAAATTTCATGGTGAGAATGTTCTTTCCTTTTCCCTGGCCCCAGCCCTCCAGCTCTCCTCACAGGACATACTTTCCGTCCCTTTAATCATCTTTATTGCCTCCCTTTGGATGCTGGCCCGGTCCACATCCTCTGCGAGGTGTGCTGACCTACCCTGGGCATTCTCTACCATGAGTGTGGCTCAAGGGGTAGTTTGGCTCCCGAGCCCTCACATGTCATGCAGGTCCTTCTTCCTACATTCCTGTGTCATGCTGCTGCTTTCCGGAGGCCTGCCCCTGTCCAGGGGACTCCTGTGGAGCAAAGCGTCCTGGCCCAGAAAGGGACATATGGGCTGGCCTGGATGCCACTACTGAGCCTGGAGAAGCTGTCTCATTCAGAAGCTTGGGGACTTTCCGTACCTCTGACACACACACTCTAGGGCAGAGGAGGTGGGCATAAGGCCTCCCTCTCCCCGACATCTCCCCAAGTCCTGTGAACCCTATTCCTCCTTTAGAGACAGCTCCTTTTTTCTTTCCACTGCCAGAAACCCACAACTTTGGGATTGGTCAATGTGATGCCACACAGCAAAAAAGGTAGCAAACACAATGCAATTAACTGTACACTGGTCAAGGAAGGACAGGCTTGGTCCAACTCTCTCAACTCACATTTCCTAGTGGTTCCAAATAAAGTGCCTAGTGGTTCTGATGCCTAAGCCAGAGCTGCAACTAGCCTCCCAGCTAGTTGCACATTTACTGTCCTCCGTGAATGTTTTCACACCCACTAAATCCGCTGTTAGTTGACAAGCATTTTGGGTGACCTGTACCCTCCCTCCACCTCCAAATTGTGGCCACCATCTAGCAGCCCTTCCTCCAGGCCTGCACGTAAAGGAAGGTCAGAGACACTGTCAGCTGCAGCCGGGGGGCTCCAGGAGGCGGTTACACAGCACAGGGAAGGCACTTCTAGTTTTCTAAGCCAGGGATGTCAGCTGGCTGTTTCTCGTGTCTCCAAGAACATTCTCTGTTCACTTAAGGTAAAACCACCAGCTATCACCTTTATCTAAGAATAAATTCCCCACAGGGGAATACCTCATTTTCATTCTTCAGGCATAAGCCTTTTTGTTCTTTCTCTCTTTTTTTGGATTTTTATCCAGAAATAATTTATGCATGTTCAAGCAAAAAATACACTCTGATCACCTTTTTGGCACAAATGATCGTATATGACAAACACTGTTCTACACCCGGATTTTTTACCTAACCCGCATTGAATAACTTCCCAAATAAGAAAGCCCTGTAGAACGCAATGCATGCCTTTCTCAACTGCTCGTTCCTGTCCACGGCCACCTTATCACTCCTCTCCTCTCCTCTCCTGTGGTTCTCACTCGGGGGGACTCTGAATTCCACAAAAGGGCCTGGTTCATTTCTCTGGGCATTGGGAACAATGGCACAAGCCATTGCTATCTGTGTGTTGCCTGTCACAGAACGGCTGGTTCTCACAGGAACAATTCCCAGTGACTGAAAGAGGAAAGACAGATGCCCTTGGACTCATGAGCTCCAGGAGCCTCCTGGAGGCCATGTCTCAAAACATGTGGCCGGCAGGTCCTGTTCCTTGAGGACGCTGCTGCTGCTGAGAGGTTGGTGGGTAGAATGCTTCCCCTGACCTAAAAAGCCCAGGAAGATGCAGAAGCGATGGTGGCCCTCTGTCCCTCTTCCAAAGGACTCACTCTTCAGAATGAGTGCTGATCTTGGGAATCCCCAAACAACAGCCAAGCCAGCTGGGCCACTGACCTTAGCTCATGACAGATAGAAGAATGTAACACAGGCCAGCACTGACTTAGCCACAGACACTGATGTGGGAAAGAACATCCAATGCTCAAGACGGTCTCTCCTACCTTCGATCGTTTCTCCTCCTCCGGAAGAGCTTCTTGGTGTGCGCAATCTCCACCTCATGGGGCATCGGGTGGTAGCCCTGGGATGTGGGAGAGAGTGGGTGTGAATAACCTCTAAGAGAGCAGAGGGCATCTGGGACCACACTAAGCACAGCAGCACCTGGGATAGGAAGACGGGAGAGGCTGGGCTCTGACCTTCAGATCCAAACTTGCTTCCTCAGGGAAGGATGCCAGAATTTCAGACTCAAAGAACAGGGAGCATCATGGGGACCCCAGAATTCACCATGTCCAAACTGTCCAACACAAGTGAGGATACTCAGGCCCAAAGAACCTGAGTGAACATTTCAAGGTTTCCAGAGAGGAGGCAGCAAGTTGAGGGTGCTGAATGTCCCCCACCTTCCTTTGATTGGGGGCTGGGCTCTGTGAAGCGAGACCAGTGGAGCCCTTCCTAGGGAGCCCCCTTCCTAGGGAGCCCCCTTCCTAGGGAGCCCCCACTCAGAGGGCTGTTCATGTCCCGCATGGGGACCAGATACACAGTCACTGGCCATAGGGCAGGGGCAAGCTCCTCCAATTTCCAATTTCCTAACAAAATGGAAATATTATTTACCTTCTGCTCTGTGCTGTTGAGAGGCCCAGGAGATGGAGTCTGCCGTGAACAGAGGAAAATTGCCTCCTAATCCTAAACTCGGCTCCCCTGGAAGCTTTTACCCAAGATCCTTTCTCCTTATATCGCCTGGGAAGTATTTAGGGAAAACATGCAAATAGCTAAATTCTGTTTTAAACTTCAAAGGAGGGACTGGGGAGAATTCTAAGAATGGTCTTTTGCATATTGTCTTCATGACAACTCCTTAGACATTGACATCATTTGGAAAGAGACCTTCCACTTAGAATGCAGGCCTGATCCAGCAAATGCCAGGCCTGGCAGAATTATTGCAGAAGCTGGGCTGATGGCCAATTCTGTTCTTACCTCCTTCCCACCACCCCCCCCCCCCAATGGGAAGAATGATGATGACACGGCAGAGAGTATTATCACTCCATTTCTAGCAGCCCAGAGTGGAGTATGGGGTACCTGGGCCTCGCTATGATACAGCCTGACTGTGACCGGCACTATGACAGGCTGGTGTGGGCAGGCACAGGTGTAGAGAGGTGTCCCAGACCCCAGTCGGCTGCAGAGTGGTCCATGGGCATGCATTTGGCCTCAGCCTCCATACAGAGGGCAGGGAGGCTGAGGCCCAGAGACGTCATGCAGTGAACAAGCAATAATGGATCTGTGGGCTGCAGCCCTGACTGCTGTGTGAGGTGGCACACACCCTACTCTGAATTGGGGCTCCACTGAGAACATCCCACTTTTCTACCTTCACCAGACTCAGCCTCCAACTGGGGATGGCTGGGGGATATTAACAGTCCTGGATTTCTGCCCAGGGGGGTGGTAAGAAGAAGGGTCAAGAGGGCACAGAGACCAGATATTTAGGGGCCAGGGGGAAAGACACATTCCAAACTATGTTTTAATGACAGCCTTTCCCTCCCACCCCATCTTTCTTGCTTCCAACAATCTAGCCAAAAAGACATGAATGAATTCCAGGCTTCAGGCCGCCACAATGGGCCTCAGGGGCCTTAGGATGTGCTTTGTTTAATGGTTTTCTCAAAGGATATTATTTGTTTTCTTTAATACAAAACACAAACAAGGAAAAACACCCAGTCTTCCCTTCTCACTTCCCCTCTCCCACCCTGACCAAGCTCTGGGCTGGCCCCCTTCCCTCTTTCCCTTCCTCCCTTCCTCCCTCTGCAGGTCACTTCAGGAACACATTGGGTGTGCCCCAAGTAGACAATGGACAGGAAGCCAAGGCTCCCTCCCGAGCTGGCAGCAGACTGGGATCTCAGCTCTGAGGCTGGACAGACGGAGCTGCCTGTGGCACTTGGCATAGCACTAGCCGAAGGTGCCAGCCTCCTCCGGCCGGGCCTCAGAATCCTGGGCTCTGACCCACATCCTGGCCTCTTCCCTCCACACTGGCCACAGCACTGGGGAGCTGCCCTTTGGACATGACCTCAGCAGGGATCCTAACTTGTCCCCAGGCCTCAGAGAAGATCATCCAGCCACAAGGACAGTTATCCTCATCACTCCCTTAATCTGTGCCATAAAATGGGACCGGTAAGATAGAGGTGGAAAGGATGGCATGTCCTAGACAATGGCACACAATGACAGGAATGACTCACAGGGAGTTTGGAAAGGAGCCTCAGTTGGGGCCCCTGGTGGCCTGGCCAGAGCAGATGGTGCTCTGGCTGTAGACCAGAGACCCCTTCCTGCTTTGCAGACATGGAGAATTAACCCAGCTTGTCAGAATCATCCTTAAGTATCCAGCAGTCCTGCCTCTAATTCTTTCCTTAACAAGTCTGGGTGCTTCCAGCTTGGCAGGAGCCCCACCCAGGTAGGAGCCCTCTCCCCAGTGCAACAGGGAGAGTTTTGTGGTCTCCCTGCTGATTCTGTGTGTGAGATCGCCCTGAGGTAGACGGGACTGTCACCATCTGGATGGCCACTGGGCCCTGATGCTTAGCTTTAACTTCTGTAGATGGGTAAGGGATACCTGGCTGCAGACACCTTACCTTCTGTGGCCCCCTTCTTGGTCTAAGCTCTGATTACTTTCCATAAGTGTGCCTGAGAGACAAGCAGATGATACATAACAAGCCCCTACAGGAAGGAAGGGAGGGAGAATATTCCTCCTACTCCTTCCCGGCAGAGTGCATGTGAAACACGTGCATGTATATGCACACATGTACAGACTCCCACCTGGAGGTCAGTGCAGGTGTAATGTGCAGCTGCGAGGGGCAGCATATTACTGCTCTGATTACAGAACATGTTATGTAAACTCAGCCCATTACAGAGCAGGCTGAGGCTGAGATCTCACACCCTTGTTCGGGGGCGGCTGCGGGGCGGGGGTTGGAGGGATCAAGGGCAGGTCCAACAGAGCTCTGGCCTCAGGACTTCAGCCCCAGACAGTTAATAATCTCAGGTGGGGAGGGGAATGGCCTTGCCCTGAAATGACAGCTATAAAAAATAAACCTTGAGTCTGCAGGTGGCAGGAGAGGGAGCAAAGCACCTGGCAAAGATCAGGCATGCTGGTTGTTCTAAGACCGGCTGCCACTGTGATGAGAGTGACAAGCCTCTCCGGCCACAGGATCCTATTCACCACGCCTACCCGTGCATTTGTCCACCCATCCTAACAGCCACCACCTTTCCATTCATCTACCTATTCTATAAATATGCGGTAGGCACTATGCATAGGGTTACTGTAAAAATTAAGCAAAATTCTTATTCTTGGGTTGTACACACTCTGATAAAAAGAGACAACTGACAAATACATATATGTGATAGTGGGATTGTTTTGCTATGAAGCAAAATAAGACAAGGCAAAAGGATGAGGGAAAGAGAGGTGAGGTGGTGTGGAGTAGTCAGGGAAGCCTTTTTGATTAGGGAAGAGTTAGCAACCACCCATCTAGTTGTCCATCCATCTTTATATCAGGTTGTTCTTCAATCAACAAACACTGAAGGCCTACTGTGTGCCAGTGCATCAGCTGGATAAGACTAGGATGGAGGAAAATATAACATAACATGATGTAACACAATATAACATAACAATAACACAAAAAACAACACAAACGTGGAACATACATGGGGAAGCTGCTGTGTGCTGTGTGGCAGGAAAGCCCAGAAACATCTTACCAAGGGGGTGATACCTGAGCTGAGTCCTCAGGCATTCAGTAGAGAGGTGGGGAGAACATGCTCCGAACTCTAACTGCTGGCGAGGATGCTGGTGCCATGGTTATGTGTGGGCATGTGCCTGGTACCAGGGAGAAGAGGGAGGCAGTCGTGCTCTTGGGGCCAGCGCTGGGGCTCCTGGCACAGTGTCTGGCCTGGGGCCATCTGTATCATCCTCTTCATCTCATATAGTGAGGAGAACTGTGTCCCCCAAAAGATCTCCTGGTGTCCTAATCCCAGGTACCTGTGGATATGACCTTATTTGGAAGACACAAGTTAACTTGTGCAGACACAAGTTAAGATGAGATCATACATGGTCAGGTTGGACCCTAAATCCAGTGACTGGAGTCCTGATAAGAAGGAAATTTGGATGGATGTACAGAAATAGGAGAAACATAGAGGAGGGCTGAGTGAAGATGGAGGCAGGGTTTGGCGTAATACAGCTAACAGGCCAGAACCCAGAAGAGGCGAGGAAAGTTCTGCCCTACAGACTGAGATTCTGATGGCTCTGTGACTTTCGGTCTGTGGTCACTTATCCTGGCAGCCGTAGGAAATACAGCCCCTGCCCTCCCATCCACATCCTACAGAGCTGTCCCCTGTGTGTGTCCCTGGCGCTAGGCCTGCCTGACTGCTCTCCTATCTGCTCCGTCAGGATCACCAGCTGGGCAGTCCTTCAGGACTCTGCTGAGCATAGGGGGTGCCGCCTTGTATTTGATAGTCTCTGGTGAGCAAGAGCTACCAGCCCCACACGGGTACTACAGCAGAACCCTGAGGCTGTGCCTGTGGGGGCTGCACTGATGCTGGAGGCAGGGCTTGAGGCAGAGACTTCCAGGCCACCAAAGTCTTCCAGATCTCATCAAATCAACAGCTAAACCATGATGCTGCCAGGTTTCTACATTCAAGTATTTATCTATTTGACAAGGGGAACTTGAGTCTCTAGAGAGCAGGTAGAGTACCAACCCCCCCACCCCCAACACCCAGCAGTGTCACCTGTGCCTCTGGGGCACAATATATGTGTGCCCAGCCATGCCCTGTTATGTAGTTGGAAGGACTAGGAACCAGCAGTGAGGAGATTCCAGACTGGAAGAAGCATCGTCAGCTACTATCACCTGGTCAGCCAGACCCCAGTGAGAGGGGAGCCCCTCCATCTCACACCACCTCCCTAGAGTGAGTGTAAGAGCCCAAGGGCCATCTGTCTCGTGGACCGAGGTGCCCCCAGCACTAGTAGGTTGCCTGGTACATTGTTGATCATAACTAAATATTTGTCGAAGACAGCAAAAAGGAAGGAAAGAATACGAGCTTAACTTTGGTTGGATCTGCTACATT